CTTCCAAGGGTGCCTCATTGACCCTTTTTATTGCTAAATCAATAAAATATAAACACCAAATCACCTCCCTCATCATTTTTTGAAGTTTTGTACAATGTAAAAAGCTGCCTCATCATGTTTTGGGGGCAATAGAAAAAAAAAATGCCTCCCTCCCTCATCATATTTCTTTAAAAAAGGCCTGAGAACCAAGTAATTAACTTTGCATGGCCTAAAGCAAAACATTTATTGACTGGGTTCAAGGGCAACATGCATTTTGTCAATCCCTCAAACCAAACTGTTTGCCTGAGGCCATTAGGCTTCAGGCAAACAGGACAGTTCTTGGAATCAACAAAATGCATGTTCCCTCGAACCCAGTCAATAAATGTGTATTATGTACATATCAATTGTTCTGATATTAAGTACCAGGTATATCATCTGTGAAAGGAATTTGAGATACAGTGTTGTATGTTATCTTCTACAGAATCAGATCTGATAGAGGCCAAAGACCATTTATTGACTCTGTTATCTGGTCACATGACTGAAGGTCAGAGGTCGGCTTTGTTTCTGCTGCAGCAACTTTGTAGAATTGATGGTAAGGTTTTAAATTAAATCTAATACTTGTGTCTAGTATACAGGAAAATTTTTGCCCCTCTCGCCCTTGTTTCATTAGGGCAAATTTAAAACAGGGTGAATTAAAATAAAATGGCATTATCTCTTAATCAGAACTATGCTGGGCGAATTAAAAAAGGGGCAAACTTGTTTGCATGTGTAGAAAAGGGTGAAAATAAGATAAGGCACAAAAAAAAGCTTGTATACAGTTTTCAGAACTGTCTGTGTGTTCATAATTATTGTTATAAAAATATTTTTGGAATTCATGGTTTAAAAGCAAGACTCGACAGAAAATAAGTACATGTATAATAATCCATTGTCCTTTTTTTTCTTGCAGAAAATCTTAATGAAGAAGAAAGAATTCCAAAGAAGACAGCTTTTAAACAGATTTATGATTAATATAGTGCATATTGATAATTTGACAATTTTTTGCTTTAAATGTATATATGCATACATGTGTAGTCATGGGGTTGGGAATTTGTGTTCCCCTTCTCAACTTTTTAAATGGTAAGAAGGGGATATCCATATGCCCCCATTTTCCCTCGTTTTGTGGCTAGACTAATAATATCGTTACTCTTTCAGGGGGAGACAATTTGCAAAAAGATGGTGAAAATTTGGGGAAATTTTATGAATAACCTCTCAAGAACTTCTGTTTTGGAAATGATAAATCTGATATATGCCTTACTCAGGGTAGCATTGTTCCCCATAAGCTTTTGTCTCTTTTTTTTATCAAAGATTTTAATCCCAAAACTTGGATACAAATTTACTTAGATGACATCCCCACTTTCAAGATTGTGACCTTTGTTGCTGATGAATAATTTGATGAACTGTGATACTGTACATACAGGATGTACAATGTAGTTAACTCTTTGATAAGTTATATATAAATGCACTTGTTAATGCATGTACATTTTGCTTTCAATTAAAGTATGTGAAGATTACAGTTTGCATATTTTTCTCATATTACATGTACATGTACACAATTAAATATTTTAAGGAGAAATGCCACAACAAAATTTTATTTCACAGATCTAACTTTAAGACACCTCTCTAAATTGTAGTCTCAGCATTGTAAGTCCAATATATCTTTGAATTGCTTTTTAAAAATTTTTTTGCATTTTCTCAGAGAAAATAAAAGAAAGTTTTATTTGCAAATAAGTTGCTTTATGAATTAACTTTTGCTGAACATTAACAAGCACATATCCATGGATGTCTAATAAAATGTAAAGAAAGGTTGAAAATGAATAGATATTTTAAATTTTTTTTATTAAAAAAAATTATTTTTGACATTAAAACACATTATTTGTGAACGTTTCTTAAACCTAATTTAGGAGAACCATGTAGAAGTCAATAATAATTTAAAAAGAAATTGAAATGAAATTGTGAAAGTTTAGGGAAAATTCTGATCAAAATTATACTAAAAATTAATCCCAATCATAACTAGTGCTAATTGTAACGGGGACCGTTACAGATGTTCCCCAAACGCTCCCCAACTCCCTTTTGGTGCCATATTCCCTGTAAGCTTTATTTATTAACACAAACTCTATGCATTTGAAATTTTAACAATGTTTACCCAGAAATGTACCATGCTCATTCAAATTTTAGCATTGCACGTGTGCACATGTGAAGGCATATACGTAATGACCATATCATCTTGTCTACACAATCTATATGTTTTAATATACTAAATATTAAAGTATTTAATCCAAAAGTATTAAGAAATTCGCTCATTCAAGTGTATTTTTGATTTTACCCATTTCACGTGCACGCACGTGCATACATGAGCATGGTGACCATACCTTCTTGTAGAAGTTCATTAAATCTATCTATGTTCTAAATCCCATCCCGTTTGGTTGAAAACCAAGGGAGTTAAAACTGTTTAAAGTTTCAGCCAATCAGATTGCAGCGTACGTATACGTACATGTATGCATGTGCATGGAGACCATACCTTCTTGTAGATGTCCATTATATATATCTATGTTCCAAATCCCATCCTGTTTGGTTGAAAACCAAGGAAGTTATAACTGTTTAAAGTTTCAGCCAATCAGATTACAGCTCACGTACACGCACGTGTATGCACGGCATGGTGACCATACCTTATTGTAGAAGTCCATTTTATATATCTATGTTCCAAATCCCATCCTGTTTGGTTGAAAACCAAGGGAGTTATAGCTTTTTAAAGTTTCAGCCAATCAGATTGCAGCTCACGTATACGTACATGTATGCATGTGCATGGAGACCATACCTTCTTGTAGATGTCCATTATATATATCTATGTTCCAAATCCCATCCTGTTTGGTTGAAAATCAAGGGAGTTATAGCTATTTAAAGTTTCAGCCAATCAGATTGCAGCGCACGTGCATGCACGTGTTTTCATGATAATTTCTATGTATCATGTTGTAGGATATCCTAATGCATGGCTATGTTCAAAATTTCAAAGGATCTCCTCAAAAAACAAGAAAGATATTGAGACTTTAGTTTCAGCCAATCAGAGCAAAGCGCACGTGCATGCGCGTGAGATCTTGCTATTTTGACCATTTCATATTGTCTATATTACTAATATATCCTTACATTATGAGTTTCAAAGCATTTCATCAAAAATTTAAAAAGTTACGCCTATATCAATTAAATCGGTCATTTTACATGTTGCACGTGCGCGCTCTTGCAAGCACGTGCGCGCAAAATGACCTTTGTTCGGCAAATCTACATAACATGTCTATTGACCCTAAAAACATTTTACCTTAGTCGGATGTGTAGTTTACAAGATCACTCAAGGACAAAATTTTCCCAGGAATAATAATAATAATAATAATAATAATAACTAGATGCGTTCTTGTTGCTAAAGCAACAAGCGGTCTTCCGACCGACTTTTCGTTAGAGTTCTATGCTGCGTCAGAATGTATTTTTTGTTAACATTTATTCACAGTAGTCTCTCAACATACATCATGATAATTACAGGTATTCCTCAAAATAACTCAAAAATAGCTTTTAAAAATTGGCAATATATTCCATCCGTGTTTTAAAAGAGATTTAAGTCATTTGCAACTAAAAAAAGACATAAACAAAGAAAAAATTTTTGGAACGCCCCCGCCGGGATTCGAACCCCCGACAGTGCGACAAAGTTTGGTTCGGTCATATCTTTTCAATAGATGCACACATCAAGATACTGAACACATATTTAGAGTTCTCATAAGACACACTATAAACCCTGTAAATCCTAAAGAAAAATATTGAAAAACAAAAAAGTTGAGAAATGGGACTTTTTGAATTCACTTCCGTTTGCGACCGGAAGTGCTGACGACGAAAAATAAAGGTCGTTGCCCATAATGGAGTTCGATGATCTATCACCTCAGTGAGTTTCACTTTCATATCTTTAGCCGTTCTCGAGAAAACTGCTGGACAAAATGCCTTTTAAAAAACACAAAAATCCCCAAAAATCGCGGACGAAAGGGAATTTTGAAAAAATGAAAAACACGTCTGGAGATATTCCTATGTTGCATCCTGCCTGTAAATATCTTTCAGATCCGTCCACGCACAGCTGAGATATCGCCCTAACTATGAAAAAAGAAAAATAATAATAATAATAATAATAAAAAACAGACGAATAACAATAAGGTCTTCCGAAGGAAGTCGGAAGACCTTAATAAGAAACAGAGTAAAAACAATATGTTCCCCAACTTCGTTTGGGGAACATAATTAACATGTCAAAATGAATAAAATAGCAATTTATGGCCGTCTTTATGTATTAACCACTAAGAAATCTATTGGATTGATAACCCTTATCTCACCTACTCAAACTAATATTCTTGTGAAAATGTTTTCTATTTCCAATATTCTGGTGTTTTATCCGACAGTGACTTTTTTTTAAAAGACTTTTTGTTCAAAAACTCCTTTTAATAAATGACACATTCTAAATTCATACTTTATTATAATGTTCAATCACATTTTGCTGTTCATAATCTTCGACACGAAAAAGCATATCCGCTATCTTAGGATAAAGCCATCGGATAGAGTGAGACATCAAAAACTGGTTTTAAATTACCCGCCATAATAAGCTTATCGAGGTTAAATGTAAATACGCATAGTGCCATGGGGCAAAATAGTTCGTATACATGTGCATGTACACACATAGTATGTTTAATACATAGTAGAAAATAATTTTATTTTTGAAAACAAATCGTAAATATTTAATGATATAATAATTTAACTGCTGTTAAACAATAAATTTTATATTTTATGTTGAAATGTAAAATTGTAGGACAAATCGATCCGCGTATAGGTCTACAAAATCAATTCCGCCATTTTGTCCGTTTTCCAACATTCATATTTGGAAAGTAATGTACAAAGACGTTCGTATTGATGACACTAAAACAAAGTAAACATCCAGTAAGTGAATATTTATTTGTATTTTGATTCCAGTCTATCATCTTCGTTCACTATGTCAGATCGATGCCATGTTTTCTGTCCCCCTATCGGTAAATATTGGAACGCAGAGGGCGCTGACCCGTCCCTGAAAATTCTACATGGTGGCGCTCCAAAAAATCTGTACTTTCAATTTCGCTGTTGTATCCAAGTGCTATTTAAAATGCTGTTCAAAATGTACTTTATCTTTGACACTATGTAAGTTATGCAATGATTATCACAACCCGGACTTTCTGATGCTTGAGTAACAGGTCCGACATAATCTCTTGATTTAGTTATAACGTTATAGCTTTATTAAGCTGTTCAGATAGTTTGATTTAGCTATTTGATCACACTTTTTCTGAAATTTGTTAGCATGTACAAAAGGTTGCACCTTGGTGCAGAGATAATATTCAACTTTGAACTTTTCTGAATACAAATTACAATGCATGTAAAAATCACTCAACAAACTGTGTCTCTTTCAAAGACTTTGTACTCTAAGTTCTAAATATGTTGAGGCTATTGATTAGTTACTAATCTTGCACATTGCATGACGGGACAGAAAAACCCTCGTTTGGGGGTTCGACCAGACTGGTAACCATACAGTTAATTTCTGAATGAAGTTAAAGGAAGTCAGTTCTGAACTTCTGGTCAACAGGATAATTAAATTTAATTCATTTGGTAATAATTCAGCACGACAATCATATTTATGGCCCTCAAGTTGGCCCAACACCAAAGGTTCTAGTGTACAATAATTATTACTCAAACCATGGATTTATCTGTTGCTTGAAAGTATTCAAAAGCTGCAATGTTAGAGCTATGCTACATTCTTTGATGTGGGTTACTCTTTTTGATAGTCCATATAGTATATATATGAATACACAATGTATTCAAATACTTGGGTCTTTTTGTCTGTTTCTTACAAAAAACATTTTTGTTAAAAAAAAATTCATATAAATAGCTGCCTTTAAGCTATTTTGAAAAGCTTACTAATGTTATATAGCTATTTCAAGCTATATAGCTAAATCAGGAGATTGTATTAAACCTGTGAGTGTCTAACAGTAAAACCCACTAAGTTAAACTTTGTGCATGCATGTGTTTCAATGTTCTGAGTGGAGAGGCACATGCACATAGCCTATCTCTGGGTAGGCTTTGCTTGTTCATTTGTATAAGAGAATAATCTTATTAGGGTTTTTATGTACATGTATATATGAATGTAATTAAAGAAATTATTCATACTATATACAGATCTTAAGATCGCAAGAAGTTTGGATATTATTATGTTTACTAGAAAGACACTTTGCATAATGTTATTTCAGAATTTTTTAAAAAGTATTTAGGTAGTTGTAATTTGTTTAAAGAGAACTTTAAATTTCACAATAATTACTCAAATATAACGAATGATCAAATCAAAATTTTTAGTTCATCTAGAGAGTTCCTTTCGCTATGGAATCCCAGCCGGAAATGTCTTCCGCATCTACACAGTCAACCACCGTAAATCTTAACGACCTGCAAAGTTACCTCGTAACCTTCAACAAAGAAATCGAGTCAAGCGACCAAAATACATTTGAGGTAATTTATTTCTTCAGGAGATTGAATTTTTTTTGTGAATGTAGAAAAAATCCCAATTTTATTTTCACACATGAAGGCATTCATGAGCATCCCAGCAGGCACACAACGTTGTTTAAACGTTGAATATTAGTTGAAGTTGGGTTTAGACGTTGATAAATCTAGATACAATATTGATTCAACGTTGACTTTTCAACGTTGAAAATTTAACGTTGAATCAACATTGAATTAAAATTGAGTTGAATTGCCAACATTGATTCAACGTCGGATCTTCGTTGAGCGGGCCAATCCTACCTTTCGCTGATAGATAATTTGGAGTATGATAGTGTCGGTCTATAACACTGTCGGACCATAACGAGGTCGGACTTGACAAAGTCGCACTACCGTATATCATTACTACCTATTATAACTAACATTAGGATGGTAAATATAGAAATTTTACACATTCAATGATGAATATGAATTCAGCATAACACAACCCTCATGACATAATTTGTCAAAATGCATATCTGGTGCATCAAAAGTTGTACCGTATAAGATTTGCATCTTACCTTGGAATGGTTTCATGTTCTGGACTACTGAGTATTTCATAACCACATGTGAAAATTCAAAACTTTCGTTAATGCTCGGGTTTTGTAACATGATTAATTTATAAAATGTATTTTGGTGAAAATTATTGTAACACAATTAACTATTGATAGGAAATTAAACACTTACTGTTTACAATATATAATTATTTTTCATATAGTGATATACCCTATGTTTTCATTTAAGGGGTCCCGACCCTCTGCTAGAAATTTCACCTTAGAAAGTTTTAAATTTGTGGTTGTAAGAAAATAATATATTTGTGATGAGGAGTTATCTTTCTTCAAAATATTTCTTCAAGTGAAAAAAAGTCATTCTAATTAGAATTTAAGTTTTAAGTACTTGAAATATTAAACCATTTTTAAAATGGTACTTAAAAAGATATACCTTATTCAATTTATAAGGCATTTGATGTTGGATTTAAATGGTTTATTGTTAAATATAATAAAACAATTACAAAGAAATTTGCAAAAGGAATAGAAAGAAATGTTTCCATCATATGTTTGATCTCGGGAGTATTTTTACTATTTTGTACTTTGAAAGTTATCTGTCTTATCAGAGGGTCGATCGCTATCCCTCCAACAATCACGAAGGCATCTTAGCAACCGTGCAATAAACGGTTGATATTTTAAGTATTAAAGTATATTATTAATATATGACACCCCCCTTCCAAAATAAATAATTGAATAAATGTTGAATCAACTGTTTTTCAACAAATAATCAACGTTGATTATCAATGTTGATTCAATGTTAAGACTTCAACGTTGATACAAATTTTCAAAATCTAACATAAAATCAATGTTGAATCAACATAGAAAAACAACGTTGATTCATAGTTTATTCAATGTTGTGTGTCTGCTGGGATGTTATTAGACAATTTTCTGTAAACTATTTAAAACAAAAAATATGCTCTGATGTTAAATTTACATTAATATGCACTAAAAGCTTATTCTATTATTTAATGACTTTGTAAAATTATCAATGTTATAGTTCAAAACTGTGCCAGCTGGAACAAGTATAGGAGACGACAAGCCAAAGGCCGAAAAAAATGAAGAAACAGGAGGAACATCTGCATGCAGAGTTGAGGATATTGGTTAGTTAAATCATTCCACCCTTAGTGCATACAATTTTATGCATTAGGTCACTACCATAGAGAATTAAATATGAACTGGAATTTCAGCTACAAATTGAAATAGTTTAGATGAGTTCATGGAATAACTGAAAATACTTTTCTCTCTAAAATAACTGTAAATATTATATTACTTATAGTGCAAGCATTTATTCACCATATAACTTTTAACTATTAATGGAATACTTCATCGTCACAAACCACGGCCAAAATGTACGATCTTCTCCCATTCTGGCCGTGGTTGCATGAGAAGAGAATATTCATAGGCTCATAGCCCATTAAAATATTGACCAATGCGAGTAAAGCATAGTCAGATAATGAACTTTGATGCGACCTTTCAATACCCAATCTCAGTGTATGAACTACTGCTGATTTAAATTGTTGATTTCAATTGCGATGGAAAAAAAACTTGTTATTGACTGATAGAATATGACGTCACAATAGAGAGGGGTAAATATTAAAGATTACGACACTTTTTGTGATCGAGCAGCCACGGGTAGGAGAGAGCTATATGCCGACTCTGGACTGTGGCTTGAGACAATGGGAATACTACTGATACATCAAAGGAGATGTTGAACAATTTGCTAGGTAGTAAAGAACCCCCTATTTTGATATCATATAAAGATA